AAAGATACTTGCATGTATGGTGACTGAATTCACAGATCTATAAATTGTTTTTACACTCTCAGACTGCAAAGCCATGTGATCATATATCAAAGAAAATGTCTAAGTAAATTTTACCCTGAAATTGTTTTTCAACAAAAAGAATTACATGGCAAAATTATTTAAATCTTAAAATATCATAAAGATATATCCTTTAACAAATTAAAAAAATACATATCCACCGATTATATGAAGTATATATGAATATCTTAAGAAACAAAATAATCTCTTAAGTAGCAAGTAGCACTATATGTTTAAGTTTACAAATATTACATATATAATTTAGACCTATATATAAAGATCTTTTGTTGGGATTTGTGCAGGAAAAACACTGAATATGAATGTATTCTTTTATTCCCAAACTTACTCTACTTTTATGTGGGTTTATCTTCCATCTCATGAAGTAAACCTGAGAAGAGTTTTGCTATTTTCCTTCCTTAGATAAGAATATGGATAAATTTCATGATGGCTAGGCCAGAGTGAGTCCTGGGTTAAACACTGAGAAAAACTTGGTCCTGAAGACAGTCTACGGGAGCCTCCGAGTGACTGGTGTACTGTGCTTTTAAACAGGTTGCACAGTCTGGAGAGTTCCCCTGACAGTTTGTTTATATATACCCTATCTACACTGCTGTGGCAGTGCCATTTCACACACACATTCACACTCCACAGACAACAAACAAAAGCACTGTTCTGCTGGTACTTCAGGTAGCTCAATTTTATGGATTAGGTAGGACATTTTTAAGTTGAAAAAAGTATTACCATTATTGTTACTGTGGTTGTTGATTGTAACATAGAGAGCTACTTTTGAGTTCTTTTTGTGTACCAGATACTGTTCTAAACATTTTATATGCTGTTATTACCCCCATTTTGGAGGTAAACTGAAGCACAGAGGAGTTATACAACATTCTTAAGACTGAAAAAACCTTGTGTATGTATTAAAACTCAAATCCAACCAGTCTGTTGACACAAACTTAATTACAATTTCAAACTGTTAAATGCAAAACTGCTTTATACAACTTTATTAAATGTCTTGTGTAATGTGTAATACACATGATAGGCATTATGAGCCTGTTCTGCTTGTATTCACATTTCTGGACACCTCAGAATACTGAAGATCTCTCATAGCAGTTTCTTGTTTTAAATAAGCTATCTAAGAAATAAGACTATCTCAGTCTCACTAATTTCTAAGATATATTTTCAAAGACTACCTAAAACTTTTATGTCAGCGAATAACTTCATTCCATGAGGAAAGTAATCTAATTATTAGCACATTTAGAGATCAATCCTCAGGGTAATGACTGCTGTTTTTATAATGTCACACAGCACTTCAATCTACTATAACTACTTATTTCATGTCTATGTTTCCTGCCAGAGAATAACTTAGGGATTATATCAGCTTTCTTCATGACCATGGCCCCAGTGCCCAGTGCAGTGCCCAGTGCAGTGCCCAGCACTGTAAGAATTTATAGAATAAATGGGATTTTCTCTTCTATCTCTTAAGTTCATCTAGTAAAAGTCTCACTGTATTAGCTTAATACTGCTGTAATAACTATATCCTATCAAATTTATATTTGCAATTATTATAAATATATTAATTTTTAAAGATGTGATACAAATTTCCTTCAAATAAATCTGTGATTTGTATCAATAATTCCTCTTTATAAAATTGTCATAAATTCTTTTTTAAAAATGGATCTTTTATTTTCTACATTTAAAATTTTCTTTTTTTTTGGTACTGGGGATCGAACTTGGGTCCTTCCACCTGCGCAGCAGATGGTGAAACCACTGAGCTAAATCCCCAGCCCTACATTAAAAAATTTCTTATTTTTATATTGAATTGAAAACATTCTTTTCCTTGTCACATCTATAATCAAGGAATTTTATTAATAATTTATTTTGAACTTATTAAAAGTAAATAATTTTTAAATGATTTATCAAAATGTTCCTTTCTCTTTTAAACTTCTAATCACACACAGTTGTTAATTCCAATTCATTTCTTCTGATAGTAGCAGCTCCGAAATTCAAAACAGAAGTCATTATATTTCATTACAGCATACACAGACATTGTATTGTTTGTATACTAAAAAGCTCCATAGTTAGAAATTGACAACTACTGGTACAACTTTGCTTTAGAAACAATTCATTTGCAATTTATTTCAATAAAAGAGATGTTATGTATCATATTCCACCTGTGATATGTGACTAATTTTGTTTTAAATATCCTTGTGTAACTGAACCCCTAATTCTCTGCCTGACATTATGGACAGTGGCAGTTAACTCAGGACCAAAAGGAGCTGCCAAAGAATACTGAATGCTATGAACACTGCAAAGCATGACAGCCAACAAGCCAAGTTTCTCCAAGACACCATTCCCATCTTTGTCACAGAACTGACAAGTGGGACTGGTTAGATCTGAGCTGAGATCTTCACATTAAAATACTTAAAAGTGAAGTTGGTGACCCTCTTTTGTGTATGTCCACAGAAAACTAAACCGAGGAGTCACTCCGTAGATTAAATTCAAAATAATCCTGAGGAAAAAGTTAGCAATATGGGTTGTGCCATTTGAAAGAGACTGTATTCATTTAATATTTTAAATAGATTACATATCCCAATAATAAACTAGAGAAAGATCATTTCTACTAAAAATAAGTTTTTCTGATCTTGTTTCATGCTAAAATGTATGGCCATATTCAATTTGTTTATATTACCAGCTAAAGAAAAAAAATTGAGCGCAGTGGAATGGCTACAGTTCACAGCAACTTACTATATACCGCATGATAATCTAGAAGATCAAGAAGTCTCCAAACACAAAGAGGAAAATTCTAATTATCCTAATTTGGTCCATACATGTCACATGCACATATTGAAATATCACATGGAACCATGCTAATATGTACAATGCATGTAATATTTTTAAAAATAAAGAAAGTCTAGTTTTCTATGATGTTCCAAACTGTTGACAGATCTAATACATGGAAACAACTGACTTCAATCCTTGTTGAGTATCATGCTTTAATCATTAATGTCTTTCCTTTAGGTGAGTCTGTGTCCTATAGAAAATATGTAAATGATTGGGCATTGAAATGCTTCCCTGCTTTATTTTCCAAAACTTACTAAATATGTATTTTTGAAAATAAATGTGTAAGACAAACATTAATTTGCATTCTTTTATTTAAAAGGGATAAAGGTGATTAAGGAAATCATACTATCATTTAAAAATATCTGTATGCAACAACTTTAAATCACTTAAAGAAATCAGCGTCGCCTTTTATGGCATTCGTTCCTGAAGTATTAAAGGATCTTTTATGAACTTCTCTCCCATAAGAGAAATTCTCACATAAGAATTCTGCTTGGACAAGGCTTTACTGTAAATTCTTAAGAAATCTAAGAAAACAGAGTAGCACCATAAAAAATACATTTTCCCATGGTTAGAATTTAGTCTTTCCAATGTCTTGCTTAGAAGATACTCGGTTAATAGAATAGTAAACTTAAGTTGAAAAAACAAGTTATCACTCCACTTTAAGAAATAAATGCATAGGTTCTGTGCTATACACCAACCACATTGCTTCTACTCTCATAGCAACTTATGCTTTTTCACTGTATTGGCTCCCGTTGTAATTTTACATTTGTCTATGTAATTATATCTACACTGTAATTAACATCTACGTTGGAAGTTCAAAACCAGTTAGGGAATACCTGCTTTAAATTGCTACACTTTATCCTTAGCACCTAGCTAAATGGATGACACATAGCAGATAGTCTACACGATTTTAAATTACTATATAGATGGACTGAGGATGGATGTTGCCATCTAGAGCACTTAGTTTACAGTCAACACATGAATGATCATATGATGATAGATGCTGAGCTAGGTGCTTGTCAGAAGTGCTATTCCTGATATGTTTGTTACTAAGCTCTAGGAAACAGCTAAGAACATAGCCAGATTCAACTAATATTTTGACATCTCTAATTAAGGAAGAAAAATTACTCAAAGTATGTCAGTTTCAAAAATCTTAATGTTGAAAACAGAATAGCCAACAGAATTATAATCTGGTATTAATATGCTGATCTACATCATTCATTATCTAGTTATCAAAAAGCTATTACATCAATGGAGACAGTGGAATACGCTATAACAAACACCTACATATTTTAGAATTGAACTTTTCCTCCTATTCAAAGTTAACATATATAATCATGGGTCTGATAGGACAGATGTCCAAATAAAGGGATACATAGAAACCAAACACATTTTCAGGAGAAAAAAATCTAAGCTTAAGTTCATGTGAAGCATATAAAAATGAGGCAAACTTAGGAATTTTTTTCAATGCAAAATGTGCAAGGCACGGGAGTGAGACCTGATTTTTCTCACTAAAATTTGATACTGTACTATGAATATAGTTATTCCACTTTATTTTTGGAACATAAACAACTTATTGTGCAAACTGAGTTATTTTCCATTAAGTTATAGCAGCAGTTTTTAAGATACAGCAACACTTTAAAACACTTAATGTTAAGCTAAAAGGATATTTTTTCATTCCCTCTATTATTTTACAATGGAAAAAAAAACAAAAACAGTATTCAACAGATTACTGACAGTAGAAAGCATCTACGAAACTGACAGATAAATTCAGTTTGGTATAAATGTTTTAAAAAGTTAAACTTTACTGAAGTGATATTTATTATATGCAATTTTAAAAGGTAATAAGCTTTAACAGAACTATGAAAAACTGTATTAAACTATGTATCTAATTTTCACACTTTAATACCATGTTATCAATATTAAGTACATAAATCGTATGCCTATCTATAAAATTATACTTTGTTTTACTGAAAGTGCAGTGGACATAAAAATTCAAACACCTGGCATTTGTCTAACAGTTAAAATGCTCTAAATTTTTAACTTAAATATATTGATTGCTTTACATATAACACATACACATAATTTAAATTAAAAATTCTTACCATTGATTTCCTTTCGATAGTCACTCCATTAGTCTTTCTTGATAGTGCCTTCCTACATCAAGCAGACAGTGGCCAAATCACAAACTGACATTTGGATGTTCACGTCTTCAGATGGGAGTTTTCGGCCAATTGCCAGATGAGAATTTAAACTGAAAACTGAATTACCCAAAATTTATTAAGTTGTTCCTATACCCACCAACTGATAATGAGCAGCGACTCTAAATTAGAAAATACTATCACCTTTCAAGCAGTCATAATATTATGTTTGAAAAGAAATGCTATGAACAAAAAGATAATTCCATAAAAATTCTATTATCTTCAGAGAACCATTTTAAGTAAAAATCAGTTACTTCCCCTGAAGCTCCTCCAATTATCCTGCAACCCAAATTAATTCATTATAAAGATGGTATTTCTTCAATGATATAATCAATTATGAAGTCTCAAATTTAAATACTATCAAACATTGCCTTCACCTAAAAACTAATTATAATGCTTAGAAACATTCTGACAGTGTACTTATATTTATTAAATCATCAACTATTTGTAGTATTACATAAGATAAAAGTTAAAGATTACATGGAAGTAATGTGCCTTGCCTGCAAACAACATTTTCTTGTATTGAGAAGACAAAATTTACAGTTATCACTTGTTACTTTACAGTACAAAAACATCTCAGCTCCTTTTCTAAACCAATTTAATGGTTCTTTTTCTCCTATTATAGCTACTCTTCATAGAGCTTACAATTTTGGGTTATTAGGCTTTATGATTACTCAGTTGTGTAGTCTCTTTTGATGCTTCTTAAATATCAGCCACGTTAAATTGTTCACAAATGTTAAGTTTTACTTCAGAGCGCTAGTATTACTTATGCTCATTTCAATAGTTACTCTTAATAACTTGAGTCTTTAGCAAAAATGCAATAAAGTTAAAATGAAAACATAAAAGAACACCTGCCCATATCTTTCTAAGGCATCATGCTTGCTAATAAGTCCAAAACTAAGTGCATATAACTAGATAGATCCAAGATTCAGTTCAGTGTCCTAAATATAATACATACCCCCAATCTCAAATTCTATGCACGATCTCTCTTACAGGTGTATACACACATGCACACCATCCAACCTACACCCTGACAGATGTTTCTGTATCAGAACCTGACACCATGATGTTATATAAGAGAGATTCTAAGGTGAATAATCAGCTTATGATTAAATCAAGAAAAACTGAATTCAGAGTTTGGTAAAACTATTATGTCTCTTACTTAATCACACTGACCTCCAAACAATATGATATCCTAGAGACAGGCTAATTTCACCCTACTCAGTAATTTTAAACCCAAATCTCCAATAGTCATAATACTTATAAACCACTGAGAAACAAGTTTTGTCCTAGGTGCTATGAGATACAAAGGACTCCTTTCTCAAACAGTTTGTAATTTAAAACTTGATGGATTAATATGGGAGCGCAGAGGCAAGCACAGTACATAAAGACACATAAGTGGCTAGATTCCCAAATCAGAAGCGAGCACACTGTGGTAGTTTAAATGGTTTGAGTAAGTTCATCACATGTGGAGCTAATATGAGATTTTATGTCAGAAAGTATTTGAAAGCAGAAAACACTCAACTCTTTTTTAATTTAGTCTAATAAAGCCTGTGGAAGTATTCATGTCACTCTGAAAAAAGATGAAATTACAGGACATGGAAGTATGCCCTTCCATGAAAAAACCAGACTTTCAACATAAGAAAAGCAATTCTACACAGGTTCATTTCTCTCATTCTAAGAGATTGCAATTGTGGCAATAATTTAATTTTTAATACTGGAGATATAACATTAAAAAGTCACTATCAAACTAACAAAATCATGAATCAAAAGCCCAGAATGATTTTCTTGGTATGAACACTACCGATAATACATCTCCATAATAAAGCATTTCATATTCCATCAGGCGATGAGCAGCAGGTGACTTGCCAATATGTTTTTATGTAAACTTAATATATTTTACTAATCCATGCATAAGAGCTTTAGAATTTAGTATTATTCTTTCATTTTATAAATGAATAAGAAAATCCAGTAATATGCCTGCCAGTCAGCAGTAAAATCAAGACCCCTGAATAACAATACATAATATTTTTACCATAATCAAGAAGAGTAATATTTATGTTTAAGAATACAGTATGATTTTATTATGAAATTTCAACTTCTTAACCTAGGTTCTAATCTCAAACAATCCGATTAACAGCTCTGGAAAATACTAAGAACCCATTCATAAAAAATGATGTATGATCAATTTAAACAAGTTACTCACTCCTAATACAGTCAGCTTTAAGATAATCATGCAGCCTTATACTCATCTCTTACAGAGCAAGAGGATGAGTTTGAAGAATACATCGATTTTATCAAAACTTTTTCAAAAGATGTTAATTCCCTAGAATTTTCCATGACACCACATCTACTGTGCTTTCATTCTTGGCACTGTAGTTTATGCAATTTTTCACAGGATTGTCTAACGACTTAAGCATACCACATGAACAGGACCTGAAATACAAAATCTTGACTGCTTCAGGTGATTAACAATTACATATAAATGAGCATCAAGAGACGTTTAGAAAGTTTGTAAATGAGAAATAAAAAAATGGTTAAACATTTTAGATTTGGTTTTAAGGACAAAAGTTGTCTACTAACACAATTGTCTCCACCGTCTATTCAAAGTCTTAATTCACAAGATGTTTCTTGTAAAGCATAGCATCCTTTTAGTTCAACTAGTCTCAAAAGTCAGAGCACTCATTAGGCAACATCTAAAATCATTCACCAAAACTATTTTGAACAGGCAGTGGCGTTAAATTAGTTCCACTCCACTACCACCACAACCACCACTTTCACCTCCACCAACTGGCACAGTGTCTATGAATCCAAAGGGCATTTATTAAAAGACAGTATTTTAGCACATGAAACCAAGATTATGTTATTAACATGTGCTTAAGGAGTTTCACTTATATTCCATCTTGTCACAAAGTGGCATGTCAATATTCTGTGCATCTCTGTGTATCTGTATCTATGAATGAATGTGCGTATGTATATCCATAGTTGTGGACATATGTAACCATATGCATGTGTATATATGTGTATAAACATATAAGTATGCATGTATAAATGTGTGTATACTATATATAAAGAGCAGTCTTTCTAAAACTATGTGAGCTTAGTAGAATGTGTAGTATCTTAAGGTTTTCCCAAATGTGCTTTGTGTGTGCCTGCCTTTTTCACTCAGAATTGTAAAGAGCTTCTTAAAAACAACAGAAAGTATCATTTAATTCTCATTGAAGTATTCTATGTAGTTAGAATAACGACATACCAATTTACCTAGGAGCCAGCTTACATTCGTATTACTCACAGCAATCTTTAATAAAAATACAAGCCAACCAAAGAAATGTGCCCCATCATTTCATGGATTCTTCCTATGTTGATAAGGAAGTTATCTAGGGGGTAAATTATTTATTTGACTGTTTCTCTATAAGGAAAAATGAAAATAACATCATCTTACCACATGGGCTTGTTGTGAACACTAGGCAATTTAATAATTGTCAACTGCCTGAAGGACTGAACCATGTATGTCATAAGCCTTCAGAAGTAATGCTATCACAATGGGCCAGGGATTTCAGTGGTTCTGCCGCCTGCCTCGCAAGCGCAAGGTCCCGAGGAGTTCAATCCCTGGTACCAAAAAAACCACAAAAGTAATGCTATCCCATAATCATCATCATCACCACCACCACCACAATCACCTTCATAAACATCTCAACCGATTCTTAGTAAAAATGCAGAGCTGTAGGTCACATTCCTAGAGACTCTAATTCAGTATCACACTAAAGATTGAAAATACTGGAATAAAGAAAAACAAATTTGCAAGACACTTTATATACCAATACCATCCTATGAATACAGTAATAAATAAGAAGAAATACTGCAAGGCAGGAAAAAAGCTTCAGTTTTAAAGTTCAGTAACAGCTTTACTTCTTTCTCTGAATTATGCGTAGCATCCTGCAAAGCCAGACACAATTCCAGTTACCCAACAACTGAAGATAGAACATAGGAAGTAAGGAAGGGATGACTCGATAAAGATTTGAAAAAAGTTACACATTTCATTTCTTCTTGGTAGTGAATAACTAAAAATTTATACACAAAATTTTTGAGAGCAAAGCAATTAACAAATATTGATCACTCACTCTACGTGTTACACTGTGTTAATACTCTGCTAAGTATTAAAGGGAATAGGAGCATAAAGAAAAAAGCTCTCCTAAAACCTCGTATGGGAAAATAACCTCCCACCTTCCACAAGGCATGCAACTATTGTTCCAGCTCAATGAGTAATGGGAACAAGGAGGATAGAGAAGAGATTTTACTTAAAGTCTACAGGAATGGCTTCACAGAGGAGAAAAGACTTTTAATAGACATTTATGATAACTAAGATTTTTATCATTGTTTATTGGTACAATTTAGATAATGATCACATTCATCGGATAGAATTTGTACCTGTACATGATATATTTTGATTCTTTTTTCCCATTCCCTTCCCCTCCCTGTAAAAACCAAAATGTATAACTAAGATTCTTATAGAGAGAAAAACTGCATTTCAGATCAAACAATAATATGAGCAAAAGGAGAAACTTGGCAGTATTATAGCTACTTCCGGATAGTACATATACTGAGTTATTTGCCAACTCTGGAAAAAGAGGATCTGATTAACTCTCAGTCTGAAAATCTAATTAATATGTTCAGAAGATTATTTTGGCAATGGTGTGGCATAATGGGGCAAAACACAAACCTTCAAAAATAGTGCTATTACATAATCACCACCACCACCACCACCACCACCACCACCACCACCACCACCACCACAATCACATTCATAACCATCTCAACTGATTCTTAATAAAAATACAGAGTTGTAGGTCACATTCCTAAGATTCTACTTCAATATTACATAAAGGGTGAAAATACTACATTAAAGAAAAAGAACTATAACAGGAAACCAAAGGATCAGTTACATTAATTCACTGACTGTGAGAGGAAAAACAGGTATCCAAGATGATTTAAGTGTTAAGCCTGCTTTTTCTGGCAACTTCCTAGTCTGTCCTAACACATTTAGCATGAAGGAGATGGCA